GATTTTTTTTAAAAAAATCACGATGCTGGCCACACAATTCTATGCATATTCACTATTTCTTTTTTAGCCACAACCAGAAGTCTCCTCTGGATGAATAATGGAATAACAGAGTTTGAAGGGACTTTGGAGGTCTTCTAGTCCAATCCCCTACTTAGGTAGGAAATCCTACACTGATTCAGACAAATGGTTGTCCAATCACTTCTTAAAAACTTCCAGTGTTGGAGTATTCACAACTTCTGACAATGCCCGAATTAAACGGTCTTCTAATACTGTACTTTTTTTTTTTTTACTGATTTTTAGAGCCTATTTTCTTCTTCTTTCTTCTTCTATATATATAAAAATGGCTCTGTCTGTGTGTATGTTCTAACATAACTCTGGAATGCCTTGAGCAATTTCAACTTGGTACAGAGATGACTTACTCTGTGGAAACAAATACTGTGAGGAATAAGACACCCATAACACCTTGTGTGTGTTCTGTTAAGATACAGCCTGTTGTGCCTTAAAATGGCTTCTACTGTACTGTCGTAAATGGCTTCTACTGTACAACACAGTGGAGTTGCCATGGTAACGGCTTCACAGAACTCCACAAGGGCTCCTTCTGGTAAGGAGTAAAATCCAACATTAGAAATTATGTTTGGTCCGAGATTATTTTTGAGGACAAATGTATGGATTTAGGATAAATAAATACCCCGTCAACGCCGGGTTATCATCTAGTTTTCTATAAAACAGAAGAAAGCCAAATCTTCATGCAACTCATACTTTGGACCGTTCAAGTCCACTTCTGACTTATTCTATCTCTTACTAAATGAAAGAGGACATTCCCTTAAGTGCATTAATATGCAATATTCTCTGCAACAAAAATTGTACTACGCTTTCAAACAGCAGTATTATACTAATTATTTAGACTTATTTAGGATGTAATATGGAAACCAGCCTTAAATGAAAACATTAACAAATAACACACTAGTTGTTGCGATCCTGAATCATTCCGACATTTTGGTTATAGCCCGGTATAGTTACATCGCTGCAGTGAAAACTTCATTTAGTAGAAATGTATCCTGCTGGCACTAAGTAGAAGAATTCATGGTCAAATCCAGATTCTGCAAACATTTGGTTCTTCAATTCCGATGCACAAGCTACCCCTTCACTCTCTTTGACAAATAGCTCAATCACATAACAGGTTTAACGGTATTATGCGAAGATTGAATTTACCAGGTAATACGAAATTTAGAAACCATGGAAATTAAAATATATGTTCTCTTAGGGATGGATAGCCTGTGCTATTTCTAGTTTGTCTCAGTTGCATGTGTGTTCAGTCATACATTACCTTTTTCCCTCAAAAAAGAGGGTGAAAATCTGGGTGTGTTTTGTGCACTGAATACAGCATTTTTGGCCTCCTGAAAGCCTGCCCTTTGCAAAAATGGCCGTGCATAGCCTCTAGGAGGCTTCCAGAGTGCTCCTGGGGTCTGGGGAGGGAAAAATGAGCGGAAAATGGGCAGTGTTTTTCTCATTTTGCCACCCCACCCCCAGGAGCACTCTATAAGCCTCCTAAAGGCTATGCATGCCCTTTTTTGACAAAAATGGGCCCGTTTTCACAAAAAAAGCAACCACCATTTTTGGAGGTCTGCAGAGTGCAAAAACTTTTTTTAAAAATTTGCCTCTTCAAAATCTTGGTGCGTCATATATGCCGAAAAATATGGTATGTATGTATATGCGTGTGTGTGTGTGTAATCAAACTAACATGAGCACACATGAGCAGTTCAATAGAAATTGTTCTGCACATGCAGATAACTCAAAAAAGAGATGGCTGCGGTGACGACAGTGACTGGGGAACCGGTTCGGAGGCGTGTTCAGCAGGCATGCGAGTATCGGTTTGGCCGAACCATGCCGAAACAGTGGGATCCTGCCTCGGCTCAGAGACATATAAAATGAAAAGATAACTGTATGCCTTAGGTGTGCAGTATGCCAAGTACAATTTCAGACCATAAAACTCGCTAACACTCTGAAGTTTAATGGCGATTTTTGTCGCTTTGTTAAACATTTAGTTTAGCATAAAATCTTCAGGTTTTATTACAGGTCGCATTAAGGTTTCACAGATAACCCTGAGTTGAGAGAAGACACATTGATGATTTAAATGATTGTTTACAAAACAACTACAATCCGCCCCCCGCCGCCAGATCCCAAAGAAACATTACGAAACCAAATGTTACTATAGCATTGTAGGAAGTTAGCACTCATCCCTTTCCTAGGAAAATGAGACATTATAGGAAATATTAAAAAGGGCAGAATATTTCCCCTCAAAGGGAGGCAGAAACTCACAACTCAGGATTGTGTCAAGTGAGAGTCTTGGGATGGGTGTTGTGATGGGACCAACCCACAAGCTTGGAGAACGAACCTCCATCCTCACTCTGCGCCCGAACTACAGGGAGTCCTCAACTTAAAACTGTTCATTTAGCATCCATTCAAAGTTACAGCGGCACTGAACAAAGTGACTTATGACCATTTTCACACTTATGACCATTGCAGCACCCCCATAGTCACATGGTCAAAATCCAAATGCTTGGTATTCATGACGGTTACGGAATGCCTTTTGGGGTGTGTGTGTCACATGATAATCTTTTGTGACCTTCTGACAAGCAAAGTCAATGGGGAAGCCAGCTTCACTTAACAACCACATGCTATTAACATAGCAACTGCAATGATTCACTTAACAACAGCTGCAATAAAATGTGATAGCAGAAATGCAGGAGAAATCAAAAAATAGAGAACCAGACAGAATATTATGAAATTTGGAACAAAATATATCAATGGTTGGAAATGAGGATAGGGAGGCAGAACAGAATATTTTGTGGATTGTCAAATTGGAAGTGGATAATACAGAGATAAATACATATATAAAGGAGGATAAGGGATATGTTAATAGGATTAATGTAGCTATGTACGATAAGTAGAAACTGTATTTGTTGTTATGTTAAAATAGGTATGGAAATAACAAAGCTAGCAAGGTTATCTATCTCCAATGTTTTTAATATTTATTCAATTAAAGAAGTATATATAAAAAAAGAAATGCAGGAGAATTGAAATGTTTGTGAGAACAGAAGATACCATTCTTGACGAATCATCTAAGATTCATCTTAGGAAGGCCTACTAAAATCCTACCAGTTTGAAATCTTTTGGACAGGATGGAAAAAGGATCCTCAGGTCAACCATTATTTGACGATGACTGTGTTGTCCTCACAAAACACCTAAACTCCACATGAATTCAGGCCGAAGCTACTCAAGAAAATTACCTAACTCTGCAGGTAAAAATCTGATTAGCTTGCTCCTCTCCTCTTGATTGCTCCAGTGTTTCCATAGCAGCTAAAGCCTACACATAATGGAGACATCGGATTTCAACTCAAGGAAAGCTCTTGGAGAGAGAGAGAAAGAAAGAAAAAAATACACCTGGGTGGATAACAGGGAATAAAATATCTTTGCAGAATGAAAATTATACTAGTGGCAACACCTGAAAGGGAAACCCATCAGTTGAACCTACAGCCCACGGATTGCAAATGAATCCTGGGCCACCAATTACGTAGAGCATTGGGTAAAGTTAGATGGATTGTCAGAATGAGAAAATAAGTACAAGATGAAGATGCGGCTCAAAAAATGCTGGCTTTTTTTCTGCTTCTTGCAAAAATCTTACTCTAATTTTATCCTGCACGCTCAACAATTGCAACTTAGGCAAAGCGTAGTGTTAATCTGACTGAAAGCTGCCATTGCGATTCATGAAATTTATACCTGGCTGGCCTTTTTATCCTTCCTTCTTTTTGAGCTCAGAGACACAACAACAACAACAACAACAACAACAGGACCTGTCAAGGACCTAGGAGTACTCATTTCAAAAGCGCTAAGCCCCAGAGCTCCCTGTAACAGCATTGCCAAAAAGGCATTAAGAGTTGTTAACCCAATTTTGCGAAGCTTCTTCTCCACTTTGCACTGCTAACCCAGGCACACAAAACTTTTGCCAGACCAATCCTCGAATACAGCTCGTCCGCCTGGAATCCACACTGTATATCGGACAGTAATATAATTGAACGAGTCCAGAGGTATTTCACGAGAAGAATCCTCCACTCCTCTGCTCACAATAGAATCCCTTATGACACCAGGCTTGAAATATTGGACCGGGACAACCTAGAACTACACCGCCTATGGTCTGATCTAAGCTTAGTACACAACATTGTCTGCTACAATGTCTTACCTGACAATGACTACTTCAGCTTCAACCACAAACAATAGATACAAAGGTAAACGCTTCAAAATCGATTGCAGAAAATACGACTTCAGCAACAGAGTGGTCAATGCCTGGAATGCTCTACCTGACTCCGTTGTTACATCCTCAAACTCCCAAAACTTTAACCTTGACCTGTCTACTATGGACCTTACCCCATTTCTAAGAGGTCTGTAAATGGGTGTGCATAAGCAAACCAGTGTGCTGTCCTACTGTCCCCATTTACCTGTACTCAATTCTTATGTATATACTTATACCTGCTTATACGTTTATATGTTGTATTCATACTTATATTTGTTTTCTCATACATGCTTGACAAATCTAAATAAACAAACAGTAGACTCCTTCCTGGTCTATTCCATTTTAGACTGTAAGGTTGAGTAAACGCATCTTGTAACCCACACACACAAGTACACCAAACCTTATCAGTGGGAAATAGCTTCACCTTCTCAGTGGAGAAAACTGAGTTCAGTCACATCACCTTTTAAAACATTCAGTGGGATCCAGTTTTCAAATCGAAAATCAATTGATCGATGAAATCAAATGATCGGAAAGCTTGCTTGCCTAGTTGCTATTTTTCCTCTTTCTTTTTTTGGACACAGTGACACTCTTGTGGAATATAAATGTTGGCTGGCAAAGAGATTCCTCCACATTATTCAGTTCTGGCTGGACCAAAGTACTTCGTTCTCTCATTACGTATCAATTGTGTGTAGCAGAAGGGAACAAATACACCGAGACAGCCGCAGATGTTCCACTTACTGATGTTAATTGTCTTATTGTATTTTTTAGCTCAGCTATTATTTTGCATACCAATGCTTCCCCAAAAATAAGACAGGGTCTTATTTGCTTTTGACCCCCGAAATATGCACTTGGCCTTATTTTTGGGGAGGTCTTATTATTTTTGAGGTGCAGGAGACAGAGAGCATGGTCACCTCATGGTTGCTGCTGTGTTGAAATATTTTTGGGTAGGGATTATTTTTGGGGGGAGGGCTTATTTTAGTGCATGTGCTCAAAAGCCCAATTGGGCTTATTATCCAGGGAGGTCTTATTTGGGGGAAAACAAGGGCTATATTTTTGCTTGGTGTATATTGGAATCTTAAGTGGGGGAAAGGAAAGGAAAATGAAGTACAACCCATAACCTGGGCCTACCTCTGTACTAGGGAATTAATATCCATAGGCACAATGACTCCTCAGATCAGGAAATATGCTAAAGTAAATAAAGCAAATAAGAATGGATATTTGGCATCAAGGCATCCTACTATCTAAGGCAGCAACAGTCCAACACCTGGATTTTGATGGCGAGGGATCATTGAAAAGCTTATCTTACCTTTAGGTGAAATATGCCTCCAGTTAATTGTCGGATCTGGCCTTCCTGTAGCTATGCAGGTGAGACTTATGTTGCCACCTTCGTTGATGGAGATGTCTGAAGAGATCTCAACAATCTTGGGGGGTACTGCAAGGACAAGGAAAGGAAGAAAGTCAACCCAAGATTTAGAGAAGCTATAATTTTTTTGAAAAATCTTTGAGAGAGGCCACCATTCAGAAGCGATAGACAGAATGTGAGAGTGAAGGTTCGTTCTCTGAGCTGGTTTCCAAACATTTCATTATCAGACTGGGTAACTGTCAGAGTTTGTTGCAGAAAAATCAAATCCAGAAAGTACACACAGATAACTGATTCAACTGGATTCATTAACTTCTTTATGCACATAATAACAGATGAATAAATGTACAATGCCAATAGTAGATTCTTTCAATGTGATAGAAGTTACAAGCAGAACACAAACAGGAGAGAACAGTCAGTTTCATTTCAGAGTTCAGAGCAGACAAGTTTAGACTAGTGTACTTCTCAGAGCAGCAGATTCAGAGCTCAGAGCTTACAGACTAGTTTCAGTTTCAATTCTCAGCTAAGCCACGTGCAAACTCCAAGCTTAAGTTTCTGTTTCCAAAGCAGCCCTCATTGGCTGACCCAGTTGCTATTCCTATTCGTTGGCTGATCTATTCCAGTCTATGAATATTCATACTCTGACAGTACATCTTCAGCCGAATTTAGGGGGTGTCAGTTTCTGTGTTCTTCTGCTTATAATGATTTTGTGTGGTCAGTAGGTCTTGTGATGGGGAGGTCACATCAGATCAGGGTCTTGTGATGGGTCAGGTGTGGGTCACATCAGGTGAAGGTCTTGTGATGGATCAGGTGTGGGTTTTGTGATGGGACCAACCCATAAGCTTGGAGAACGAACCTCCATCCTCATTCTGTGCCCGAACTACAGGGAGTCCTCGACTTACAATAGTTCATTTAGAGGCCATTCAAAGTTACAACGGCATTGAACAAGTGACTTATGACTGTTTTTCACACTTATGACCATTGCAGCTCCCCCATGGTCACATGATCACAATTCAGATGCTTGGTAACTGACTCATATTTATGATGGTTGCACAGTGTCTTGGGGTCACATGATCAGCTTTTGTGACCTCCTCACATTGAGGAAGCCAGCTTCACTTAACAACCATATGTCAGGGTTCCAAGTGACACCCCCAATGAAAGGAGACTCCGAGGGTTGAGTTTCCTCAAAGTTCCTTTTTATTAGAGATGTCATACTGGCACATCTGGGAAAACCCGAATCTGAAAGTTTCCAGGTTTTCCCGACGGAAAAGAAAGTTCACGTCCCTGCCCAGCACCCACATGTTCATCACGTGGCCCAATCAGGCACCGTCCCACCTAGAGATGCCTCCCAGTCACGCCCCTCAAGATGCAGGGTAAGACGTCCTTGACCCTCTGAGAAAGGAATGTTATTTTGACTATATATCTCCCATACTCCATATAATCCCCACTCCCCCTTTCCCACAGCAGAAAATAGGGCAGGTCTGAAGGCCCAATGCAAAAGATGGCTTCCAGGCCTGACACCATGTTATTAACATAACAACTGCAATGATTAACAACTGTTGCAAGAAAAGTTGCAGAATGGGGCAAATTCAATTAACAAATGTTTCACTTAGCAACCTAAATTTTGGGCTCAATTGTGGTCATAACTCGAGGGCTACCTGTAACAAATATTCAGTAGTATTACATACAGAATGTGACATTTGAAACCTTAGCTTCCTCAATTTCTGCGGAGGAATTTCTTAATGGAAACTATGGAGAACCACAGTTGGTCAATGATCATCATATTGGACTAAATAAGCCAGTGATTCAACTCAATATAATGGACCATTCACTGTGGTTTTATTGAACCACAATAGAGGTTAGTTTCCTGTAGAAGGACAAGCAACAGAAATGGATATGGCCCTCAAAGCAATTCAGCCAAGCCTTGCAAGTATTATCAACTTTCATCCAAGATATAATAACATTTTGGTTCATAGCTTTACCCATAATTATTTTTGTAGAACTTAAGAAGAAGGAGAAGAAGAAGCAGTATGCATACTGGCCTTTTAAAGTATGTTATACTAGCTGGATACCTCTGCTTCATGACGAAATGATGTGATCGGGCTATGCAGGAGAAATTCAGTTCACAATCCATTGATTCAGTGATGGTCAGTGATTGAAACACATAAGGAATATCGCTCCTGCCACCTTGAGTCAGGAAGACTGTCTAACTCCTTAGCACCTGAGTGTGTTAATATAAGGCAACTGGCAGTTGGGACAGAGTTCTTTTCAGATGGGAAGGGGGAGTAGAACTCTTTAGCATCAGAGCATGTTAGATACTGTATAAGAAATACTAATGATCTGATGGTCATTTCAAAAAATCCTTTCTTAGCGAGCACTGAGATACTAAGAGGAACATATGTGCCAAATTTCAAGTTTGTAGGCATTACGGTTCTGGAGATTTCATGATGAGTGGGTGATATTTGCCTTAAATATAGATAGATGGATGGATGGATGGATGGATGGATGGATGGATGGATGGATGGATGGAGAGTTGGATGGATGGATGGA